GGAGCCAGGCTCCTTTAAACAACCAGCTCTCTCATGAACTGAGCAAGAACTCACTTATTACTGAGCCAGTAGTGATAAACCATTCATGAGGGATGGATCTGCACCCATGATCCAATCACCTCCCACCAGTCCCCATGTCCAACATTGGGAATCACATTTCAACATGAGATTTGGAGGGGACAAACATATAAACCATACCAATGTTCACAGCAGCAAATAATAGCAAAATTGTAGAAACAACCTATTCTTTAGTGGTAGAGTAGATGAATAAATACAATAGGATATTGTATTTCTTAATGGTCAAATCAAATAACTATAGCAAACACAATATGGATGAATCTCAGTAAAATAACTACTAGAATATTACATAGAGCATGATACCTGGTTTTTAAAGCAAAGACCAGTGTAACATATATGTGAGTTATTCTTATATATGAAATACACATATGTAGAGAGAGGGGATACACACACGTATGTACATATATAAAAGGTATAAAAGAGTTAGGAAGGAAAGGATAAACAGAGCATTCAGGATGACAACTATATTGGGTGAGAAGCAGATTTTCTTTTTGACATGTACTGATGGGATGGGGAATGCAGATCCCTGTATGAATTAGATGGAGCTGTTGTCAAGGTCTTGGCCTTTTGTCTGAGTGATGGGTTTGTCTGTTTTACCTTATTAAAAATAGTAATTAAATAAAAGGTTATTCATGGACTACTGAAGACAAGTGTCATGACCAAGGATGATTGCTACATTTCTATGTAACTGAGTTCTAACTAAAGAAACGTCTTATGTGTATGCAGATACATAAATAATATTGTAAAATCTTAATAGATTTGACCACCACACAGGTGTACTCATAAATGTTGATTTTTGGCTAACTTTAGAAAGATTTTTTTTTATATATACTTTTTTATGTAGATATTGCCTAAAAATGCATATAACTTGGTCAACTGGAAAATGCTTAGGACTTTTCTGGATAATTAATTTTTTTTTTTTACCAATTATAAATGCTGTTTCTGAAAAATTTTAAAAGCACATTAGTTTACTTCTCTGCTGTACTAAGAAAATAATACTGACACGTATGAGTGATACATGATTGAATTTCTTATAATACTTCAATATACTTGTATGTTAGAAAGCACAAGAGATTTGACTTACTCAGGCCAGTCTTAGAACGTAATCCTGGAATTTGCCTTTTCTACAAAATCCTTAATGTGAAACTGTCTTCTTCAGACTTCTTTGTTCTGAAATTTGTTTCCCTTTGTCCCCACCCCATTCTGGTTAGGGATAGAGACAAAGGGAAATTTTATTGGTTGAAGGGTTGCTATAATTTTGGTATGACTTTTCAGTTTCAGATTACTCTGGTTTTGGCTCCAAGCACTCACGTTATTTAAAAGTGCTAATTTATACATTTACTTCAATACCTACTTTGTTATAGGTACTTTGCTAAGTACATATTCATTAATCAAATTATCGTAATAATAAAGACATACAATTACAAACTGAAGTGCGTGTTTTGAAGCTCAGGAAAACGGATCTGTGAGTGCAAAAAGGCACCTCACCTGGACTTAGGAAGTGACTTTTAAGCTGAGATCTAATTAGGGCTTGGGTCATAGTATAGGATTCAGGTCAGTGAAAACAGCTTATACAAAGGAGCTGAAGCAGGAGGAGGTACAGCATGACTAACATTGAAAACAGTAGTATGAATCAGTGTTGTGACTCAAAGGTAAGAGCAAATAACAGAGATGGCAAGGGCCTGATTTATTCAGGACCTAAGAGCGATGGGAAACCTCTGAAAATTCTAAATTGGGAGGCTACTGGAGATCATATTTGTATTTGAAGAGACTCTTTATTTAATGTCTGTCTGGCTGGCTAAACTGTAAGCTCCACAAGTAAAGGCACCTGCTTTTGATCTCACCAAGTACAATACAAGTAGGTACTCAGTAAATGTTGTATCACCATATCATAACTCAGTGTCTGGCAGACAGTAAGTGCTTAGTAATATTTTGGTTTTCATTGCTCTAGACTGGCCTTTAGTGTGAGACAGTGGCTGCTAAGGATTTAGAGGTTTCAAATAATTCCTTCCAAGAATATTCATTGAAGACCTGTGATATACTCAGAAATGACAGCCAAATTTATTTATTAGAATGTTATCACTTCTTTTCTCTTGTGCCCCATCTAGGATGTACAGAGCACAGAAATGATTGAGAATTGTTACTAAATCAAACCAGCCTACGGTGAGGTGCGATAGCAGATGCACCTGCCCTACACTATTCAGTTTACATGATCACTTTGATGCCTGTAAAGATAGCTTTTATAAAACTATGAAAGCTTATGTGTGTGTATACACACACACGCGCGCGCACACACACTATTTCTTCTGGAGTTCTCGGTATAATTACCTTTCTAAAGTTCATTTGAAATAGTCTAAATTATTCTTTAGTTATATTCATTTATTTTATATAAATTAGGATACCTTGCCATGTTTCTTTCCAAAGACTAATGATAGTTATTAAAAATATTTCTTCTGGATGGGTGCAGTGGCTCAAGCCTGTAATCTCAGCACTTGGGAGGCTGAGGCAGGTGGATCACAAGGTGAGGAGCTCGAGACCATCCTGGTCAACGTGGTGAAACCCGTCTCTACTAAAGATACAAAAAATTAGCCAGTGTGGTGGTGCATGCCTTTAATCTCAGCTACTCAGGAGGCTGAGGGAAGAGAATTACTTGAACCTGGGAGGTAGAGGTTGCAGTGAGCTGAAATCGCACCATTGCACTCCAGCCTAGATGACAGGGCAAAACTCCATCTCAAAGAAAAAAGAATATATATTTTCATTCTGAAAATTTATAATTATTTTCAATATTATAGCTCTAATACTTTGCTTTTTCATGCATTTAATTTATACATGATATGTGCTCTCTTAAAATATATAGTTATATTACCAACTTTCTCCTCCTCTTTATTGGGAAGTAGTAACCAGGCCCATGAACTAGCACAAACTAACATCTGTGTACATAAATAAAAGGTGCCCCATATGGCTGGACAAATTACCAAAAGGCTCTCCTGGGTCTGACACATCCTATGTCATGACACACTACTTGAAGGATAGCATCAGCTCCTATCTGTGCCTTCTGCTAGGGCCCTTTAAGCCATGCAAAAATGATGCAGCTATATAGTTAGTGGCCCTAAGTAGTAACTAATTATAAATTAGATACTGCTCATAATCAACCAGATGATAGATAAACCTTTATAGACAACTTATTTTAAAAAGTAGAATAATTGTTCATTTATATAAATATATAATGCAACCTTAAGTTAAAACATTAATATTATAGGCCGGGTACAGTGGCTCATGACTGTAATCCCAGAACTTTGGGGGGCCAAAGCAGGTCGATCACTTGAGGTCAGTAGTTTGGGACCAGCCTGGCCAACATGGCAAAACCCCATCTCTACTAAAAATATAAAAATTAGCCGGGCATGGTTGTCCATGCCTGTATTATCAGCTACTTGGAGGGTTGAGACAGGAAAATCGCTTGAACCCAGGAGGTGGAGGTTGCTGTGAGCCGAGAACTTGCCACTACACTCCAGCCTGGGTGGCAGGGCGAAACTCTATCTCAAAATTAAATAAAAATTAATATTATATTTAATTTTAAAGTCTTCAAAACTTAATTTGGTAAAATTGTGTGTAGGGGTATAAGCTGTAGTTTTTGAGAAAATATTTTATTTTACCAAATAAAGCTACATTTAAAAATTATTTTTTAGTGTGCCCAGCTTTGGGTACCTAGAAACACAGACACACACACACACACACACACACACACACACACACAGAGTTAATCTTTCATGATAGAAATTACCATTTACAAAAGTAAAGCAGTGAGACCCCATGTATGTTTTATTTGCTTCAACAATAGTCAGTTCATTGTTTTATTTCCTTCCCCCCATTTCCCCTACACCACATTATTTTGAAGTAAATCTCAACATTATCTTTTTAATCTGTAAACATTTCAGTATCTACTCTAGAAAATACTTTTTAAATTCTAAATAACATAAACATAGTATCATTATCACATCTTAATTAAAATAATTAACAACATTATCCACCACCTAATCAGCATGTAGACTTTCCTTATTATTTCATAAATGGTTTTTAAACTTGGTTTGAATAAGAATAAAAATAAGTCTGTATAGTATAATTGGTCAAGTTGTCTCTTGAGTTACTTTTAACATATAGTTTATTCTTTCCCTTTTTTTCTTGCATTTTATTTGTTGAAGAAATGGTCATTTTTCACTTTCTGGATTTTGCTGAATGTATCTCTATAGTATCATTTTACGTGTCCAGGAAAAAATATATATGATATATATATGTTTTACAGAAATGCGGTCTTGCTATGTTGCCCAGGCTGGTAAAATACTGACTTTAGAGGATATGTTCCACTTAATTGCCAACATGATGCCTATGCTTTTCAAAATCTGTTCCAGAAAATCATGTTGAAGATCGGTTATTTTCTTTTCTTAGCACTTTCATGTATGTTCTGTTTTAGTTTGTTTTACTGTCAATTCCCCAAACGTTACCCTGAGCTCAAGTGATCCTCCCACCTCGGCCTTCCAAAGTGCTGGGATTAAAGGGATGAGCCACCATGTCTGGCCCAAGTATATTTTCTACTTATCTTTAAATATGTGATACCTCATCTTCTTTGCCTGTAAACAAATTTTGTTTAAATGGAAAAATTAATGCTTAACTTAGTTGTAGAGAGAGAAAGATTTCAAGAATTAGTAAACATGAAAGGGAGGATCTGAAGGAATGGCCATGAGCCTCAAGAAGTAGAATAATTTTGTAATGCTTCATGTTTATAGCTCTGTGATTATTTTGATAACATAAGTCATCTTAAAGTATTATAAAACATTGAAATATAAAATTGTAGCAAGAGTAGAAATGCTCAGTTGATTTTGGTCAAAGTAAGATATTTTGTTAATTTTTTTTTATTAACCCAAAAGATACCAGGTGATCAGCACTCCAACAGATTTTTTTATGGTAATGGAATATGTGTCTGGAGGTGAATTATTTGACTACATCTGTAAGCATGGACGGGTGAGTAACATAGTATCTGGTACACTAAACCTCTAAACTAATGAGGAGGAAAGTATTGGGAAATAGCACACTGCAAAGATATCGTCAAGGTTGAAGTTGTTTCTATAATAATGCTCAACTGAACATATACAGTGTTAGACAAAATTTCTTGTATACCTTTTGAAATACTGATTTTTAGAAAACATGTTCCACTTAATTGCCAAAATGATGCTGATGCATTTCAAAATCTGTTCCATAAAATCATGTTGAGGATCAGTTATTTCCTTTTCTTAGCTCTTTCACGTATGTTCTGTTTTAGTTTGTTTTGTCAGTTCCCCAAAACATTGTGCATTTAATGATATTAATTGAAACTTAAATATTACTGCTTGGCAACAAAGAAAAACTCGTCTATTGACATGTTGAGCTTTGACAAGCTTTTGGTTGGATGTTTTGTCTGATTTGTTGAGAATTCCAACATAATTCTAGCTTGTTTGATTTTATTTAGCCTAATTATGAAATTAAAACTCTTGTTAAATATATGTCCCAAATATTACTTACTTACGTATGTATGTATGTATGTATGTATGTATGTATGTATGTATGTATGTATGTATTTGAGACTGCTTGACTCTGTTGCCCAGGCTGGAGTGCAGTGGCGTGATCTAGGCTCACGGCAACCTCCACCTCTTGGGTACAAGCAGTTCTGTCTCAGCTTCCCCCGTAGCTGGGACTATAGGCATATGCCACCATGCCCTGCTGAATTTTATATTTTTGGTAGTGATAGGGTTTCACCACATTGGTCAGACTGGTCTCAAATTCCTGACCTCAGGTGATTCACCTGCCTCAGCCTTCCAGAATGTTTGGATTACAGGCATGAGCCACCTCGCCCAGCCCCAGATATTCTTAATGCAGTTTCTTTTTGCTTGATAGGTTGAAGAGATGGAAGCCAGGCGGCTCTTTCAGCAGATTCTGTCTGCTGTGGATTACTGTCATAGGCATATGGTTGTTCACCGAGACCTGAAACCAGAAAATGTCCTGTTGGATGCACATATGAATGCCAAGATAGCTGATTTTGGTATGTAACTCCAAGGTTGTTTAGGAATGCACTAGCTACCTTTTAAAGCATGTCAGTAATAACTTGTAGAACTAAGAACTTTCCATTTCAAACTTGTGCATCCTGTACCATGTAAAGGGATTAGTTGAAATCTCCTTTGTAGCTTTTTCTGTTCATTTAAATACCCTTTAAAAATGTGGATACCTCTGGAGAAGTTAGAAGGCTGTCATCAAGATAAATTCATTCAATCTGCATTTTCTCCTAAGAAAATGATGCATATCTGTTTTGTTTGTTTTGTTTTTGAAGAGAAGGGAGGAGTCCCAAACTTCTTTGGAAAATCTCATGAAAGTATGGGCACTTTCCCTGATGAATGCATATAAACAGAGGTACCTGAAAGTTTCCATGTAGTTTTGGAAAAAAGCCTTCTGAATTGATCCACAAAGAAGTCCTTAGGGCAACATAACTTAATTAGAGCATAGTTTTTGTCAGGGGCAAAAGGTACGTAAAATGTGATTTGTATACTCCAAACGCTTTTTGGGATAAACATACCTGGAAAGGATGCCTTAATAGGGTATTTGAGAAAAAGATTAGGAAGTGAGAGATTAAAAAGATAGGTGCTGGTTGGTGTTGCCTATTGTGGTCTTTACCTTGTCTTTAATCTAAAAACTAGGAAACTGCTTTCTCTATTTCTCTTCCTTCTCTAAATCATGAAATTCATGTAGTCTTACCACTCAACCAGATTTTTGGTTCAATAGATTATATTTTCTATGTTGAATTAAATATTTCTAAATTTAAAACTTTTGGAACATGATCTCTTTATGAGTTGGGAGCCCATCTGAGTTTCTAATTATAGAATTAGGAGGCTTTTGAAAGCATAGAACAAAAAAGTAGTAGTTTATGTTTTATTCTTTCAACTATGGAAATAGATAAATAATATTTTGATGTTTTTATGTTTGGGAAAGTTAATGTGCTTCAGAATAACCTCATTCGTGAAGGGAATCAACATGTTTATTTAGAAAGGAAATTTAGTTTCACTCATACATGTGATGTTCTTTAGCTTTTTTGTTATAGTATAAGCACTCTGAGACAATCTCTTTCAGTCAAATGCTTTCCACTGCCTTTTTTTTTTTGAAATGGAGTTTTGCTCTCGTCACCCAGGCTGGATGTGCAATGGCTCGATCTCGGCTCACCGCAACCTCCACCTCCTGGGTTCAGTCAATTCTCCTGCCTCAGCCTCCTGAGTAGCTGGGATTACAGGCACGCGCCACCATGTCCAGCTAATTCTTTGCATTTTTAGTAGAGATGGGGTTTCACCATGTTGACCAGGATGGTCTCCATCTCTCAACCTTGGGATCCACCCACCTCGGCCTTCCAAAGTGCTGGGATTACAGGAGTGAGCCACCATGCCTGGCCTCCACTGCCTTTTTTTAAAAAATAAAATAACTAATAAATGATGTGCGGAGGATTAAGGACTTGAAATTTTGCTTGTGTTTATATGACTTTATTTACTTTTTAAAAAATCTCGCACCAGATAAACATTACTTTTATTTTTAGGATTATCTAATATGATGTCAGATGGTGAATTTCTAAGAACTAGTTGTGGATCTCCAAATTATGCAGCACCTGAAGTCATCTCAGGCAGGTAATAGTTAGTGAAGTGTAAACTTTTTGTAATCTTGCATTCATTCTGATAACATTTAATTATAATATATTCTCTTCGGAAGGTAAGATTTTAACATGGTAGAACTGAATTGTTCATTTATTTTTCAATTGTTGAAGGGATAATGGTTATATTAAAACATTTTAAACATTTCATTTAGATGTCATTATAAATATACCTATGAAGTTTTCCCCATTAGAAAAATAACTGAAATAGATCCTGATTTAACATCTCTTTTATTTTAGAAAAGAACAGATAAGAAAGTAAGAATTTGCAAAATATAAGCTAGTGTCATTATTTATTTATTAAACTGTTATATATATAACAGTTCTTTAACTTGCATATTTTTCAAAGTATATAGAACATTGTTTTATATTTTGTCTTTGGAAGAATGAGACTTTAGGGGACAATGCTGTTTCATGAAATTAAACTACACAAGTAGAGATTATGTAATGACTCATATAACTTATTCATTGGTACATTATAAAAATGTTTATACATATTGCAATGGTAAACTCAAGTCTTTCTACAGTGATCAATGTGTGATTTTAAAAGTTAACAGAATCCTATGAGAGAAAATATGGTAAAAATATTATTGCAAATAGCAGATCCAGTATTAGCTTAGTCCATTTGGGCTGCTATAAGAAAAATGCAATAACGTTGATGGCTTATGAACAACAGAAATTTATTTGTCACAGTTCTGAAGACTGTGAAGTCCAAGATCAAGGTGCCAGCAGATTTGGTATCTGGGTGAGGGTCTGCTTCCTGATAGACTACTGTATGCTCACTGTGACTTCACATGGTGAAAGGGAGGGGGGATCTCTCTGGGGTTGCTCTTATAAGGGCACTAGTCCCATTCATGAGAACTCTGCGCTAGTGACCTAATCACATCCCTGAAGTTCCCACCTCCTAATACTCTCTCCTTGGGGGTTAGGATTTCAACACTTGAATTTTGAGAGGCTGTAAGCATTCAGTCCATTGCAAAGAGTTTGAACAATACAGCAAATGATGTAAACAATTGCCATTTTTATGTAAACATTATATCCTTTTTATTGGAATAGTAGAGATTTACTTTGTTACCTCAGACTCAGGTTTGAGTTTGATAATATGCTGTCATGGGAATTGTAATGCTGTAGAAAGGTAAGAGGAAAAAAAGAAATAACACTATAAGCATAGGTTATCTGGATCAAAGCTAATTTTAGCCATATGAGCTAGGAAGTGATGAGAGTGAAAGTGGTAAATACACAGGATAATGTGATACAGGATAAATGCTGTCTATACAGTACTAATTAAGTACTTTAATGTTTAAAAAAAATTTTTTTTTTTTGGAGACAGAGCATCTTTTTCACCCAGGCTAGAGTGCAGTGGCACAATCTTATCTCACCGTACTGCCTCCTGGGTTCAGGTGATCCTCCCACTTCAGCCTCCTGAGTAGCTGGAACTACAGGTGTTCACCACCATCCCTGGCTACATTTTATATTTTAAGTAAAAACAGAGTTTCACCATGTTGCCTAGGCTGGCCTCAAACTCCTAGCCTCAAGCAATCCACCCACCTCAGCCTCCCAAAGTGCTAGCATTACAGGTGTGAGCTACAGTGACTGGCCTTAAATATTCTTTAAAGTTGTGCCAGGGCTAAAAATTCTATTATATGTATATTTTCTTATACTAGTTCTTTAAGAAAAAGATTTAACCTATACACTATAGTATTTTTTCAAGTTTATGGTCATCTACTTTTGTTTCCCTCAAAAATCAACCACAGAAAGTGTTATATTTTTTAATTAGTATGTTTCAGTTAAATGAATTTATGACAAATAAAAATACCCTATTCACTTGCCAGACTTGAATAGTAATTGGCTAGCCTAATTATTCTCTTTGAGGAGCAACCACTGAATATTGGGGAGTGGCCATGGACTTCAATAAAGACCTTGGAAATGAATATGTACTGAAGGTAGACTACCTAGATATAGAAGTAGGATACATATAGAGAGAAATAGTGATGCTTGCATTTTAGGTTTGTGTTGCCATCTTTTTTTAGATTGTATGCAGGTCCTGAAGTTGATATCTGGAGCTGTGGTGTGATCTTGTATGCTCTTCTTTGTGGCACCCTCCCATTTGATGATGAGCATGTACCTACGTTATTTAAGAAGATCCGAGGTGGTGTCTTTTATATCCCAGAATATCTCAATCGTTCTGTCGCCACTCTCCTGATGCATATGCTTCAGGTCGACCCACTGAAACGAGCAACTATCAAAGACATAAGGTGATTATTCTTTTTGTTTCTGTTACGTATATTTTCTCATAGGAATAATAATGATGTTAATTGAATGATTCTCCTAAAGTCTCATTTCCTGCCCTCGCCACCTCACCCCTGGCCAATGAAGAGAAGGTGAAGTACCAGTGCTTCAGCCACACTGAACTTGTCCTTGTTTCTTAAACCTAGCATAGATTTTATGTCTTTATGTCTTTGTTTATATTATTCTCTTTGCCTTGATACCTTTTCTGTTTTCTTTTTTGACCTGATAGACTTCCATTCATTCATTAACGTTCCACAGGTGCTTTCATTTCTATTTTATCAACATTTTGTTCATGCTTTTCTTATTTAATTCTCATCCTGTATCTGGTTGTTTCTCAGTGTGTCTTTTTTTCTCTCTTAAATTATGACTATTAGGGTAAAGAGTGTGTCTTATTCATCTTTGCCTATATAATGCTAAAAGGCCTGGAAATATGGTTATGTTTAGAAAGTGTCTGAAAAAAATTTCAAATGGAAAAGTAGAGTGAGATTTATGTATTTTACATATGGTTAAAAACATAAAGCATAAAAAGTTTTGCTAAGTTTTTGAATTCAATGGCTGCTAGTGGGCTTACTGTGAAGGCTCTTGTGTCACGTGAGAAACTTTGGAAAGTGCCATTGCTAATGCACCTATGAATATAACCTTTGTATATAACATATCTTTGTATAGTAGCAAGATGATTCATTGCATTCTGCTTATTACTTATCAAGGCATGTTTCTTAGAGGTTTTTTGTTCTTACCTAAGATTTCACCCATGTTTGTTTACAAGCACATTCTTTTGACATCTTTCCAGAACTCTTCCTCTTCTCTTCATTAGCCAGCAAAGACTTCTTTTTTTTTGAGGCAGGGTCTCACTCTGTCACCCAGCCTGGAGTGCAGTGGTGTGATCACAGCTCACTGTAGCCTCAACCTTCCAGGCTGAGATGATCCTCCCATTTTAGCCTCCTGAGTGTCTGAGACTATAGGTGAAAGCCACTACACCCAGCTAGTTATTTTTTGTATTTTTAGTAGAAATGGGGTTTTGCCATGTTTCCCACACTGGTCTTGAACTCCTGGGCTCAAGCGATCACCCATCTTGCCCTGCCAAAGTGCTGGAATTACAGGTGTGAGTCACGGCACCCAGTCCCAGAAAAGATTCTTTTGAGACCTCTGACCTTTGGAATTTATTTCCTTCCCTCCCCCCCTTTCCCCCCCTTTCTTTCTTTCTTTTCTTTTCTTTTCTTTTCTTTTTTCTTTCTTTCTCTTTTATTTTTGAGATGGAGTCTTACACTGTTGCCTGGGCTGGAGTGCAGTGGCATAATCTTGGCTCACTGCAGCCTCCACCTCCTGGGTTCAAGCAGTTCTTCTGCCTCAACCTCCCGAGTAGCTGGGGTTATAGGCACCACCACCACACCCAGCTAATTTTTTGTATTTTTAGTAGACACAGGGTTTCACTGTGTTGGCCAGGCTATGATCAAACTCCTGACCTTGTGATCTGCCTGCCTTATGCTCCCAAAGTGCTGAGATTATGGGCGTGAACCACAGCGCCCAGCCAACCTTTGGAATATTTAAATGATGGCTGAGGTAGCTGTTTATGTGACTGCTGCTGATTTCTTGCAAGCAAGGACTGATGATTCCTTTTGGATTTACGTATCATTTTCTTTTCCCAGCCTTTCTTTAGCACTCCAAACCTCATGCATGAAAATGTAAAAGTGTAAATTAGCCATCAGATTTAATTATAAAAATGAACTTAGAAGGAAAAAAAGTCCTTTGTGTTTATAGTTCTTTAGCATATATAGTTCTCTTAATCAATTTTTTTTAAAGAAAAGTAGACATGCTGATGTATTTGCAGCTGCTTGTATCAACATATACATTTAGAATAGTACTAGGCTGGGTGCAGTGGCTCACCCCTATAATCCTAACACTTTGCGAGGCTGAGATGGGAGGATCACTTGAGCCCAGGAGTTCAAGACCAGCCTGGTCAACATAGTAAGAGCCCATCTCTATTAAAAAAATTTTTTCTTTGCCAGCTTGGTGGCTCACACCTGTAATCCCAGCACTTTGGGAGGCTGAAATGGGCAAATCATGGGGTCAAGAGATTGAGCCTATCCTGGCTAACACAGTGAAACCCCATCTCTACCAAAACTACAAAAGTTAGCCGGGTATGGTGGCACATGCCTGTAATCTCAGCTACTCAGGAGGCTGAGGCAGTAGAATTGCTTGAACCTTGGAGATGGAGGTTGCAGTGAGCCGAGATCGTGCCACTGCACTCCAGCCTGGGTGACAGAGAGAGACTCTGTTTCAAAAAAACAAACAAAAAATTATTTTAAAAGTCAGGTGGTAATAACACTGATTTGTTACTTTAAAACAGATGTTTGTATATTTATAGACTTAAGAAAAATGTGATGTGTTTACTGGTAAGTGTTAATTTGTACATAGGTAGATGGCATGAAGGTATCATTCATCTCTATACTTTAATATGATAACTTGAATCTATAGTTTTCATCTTTTTCTACTTATCTATATTCAGTTTTTTAATGTTTTGGGATTCTTTCCATTTTAAAAAAATATATATTTTTTAAAATCTTGGGTCTTGCTATGTTTACCAGGTCTTGAACTCCCGGCCTCAAGCAGTTTTCCCATCTCAGCCTCCCAAAGTGCTAGGATTACAGATGTGAGCCACCACATCTGGCCAATTTTTGGGAATTTTTGATTTGATAAAACAGGTCAATAGGGAAAATAATTACTAATTATTGAAAAATGACAAAGTACCATGACTTTTGCTATGTGGCTTGACTGTGTTATTGCATTGACTTTTCATAGGTAGCTATAAACCATTTTACAAACCATAAACCTGAAGCTCAGAAGGGTTATGTCATGATTTATGTATCTGTTTGCCCCTATTAAATTATAAATTACTTTAAATTAGGGGCCAATTATTGATTCATAGCAAAATGCACAAAGTATAGTACATATTAAATGTTGAGTAAATCTGTGTTTGTTGAAAATTAAACAGCTAATTAGGAGCATAACTGGGGCTCAACTTGGAACTTAACCTGAATTCAAAACCTATGCTATTTCCACTATTTCAAATTGTTATGTCAATTCTATGACATCTATCCTTTCAATCTGTCATATTTTGTTTATATCTTATGCTACTACAAACTCACTGTCTTAATATTATTTTTGTACATCTATTATTTTCTTATAAGATAGCCATTGGAGGTTGAAAAATATATCTCCATATTTATTTGCTTATTTAACCATTTTTGCTTTAAGTCATTCAATAAATATTTCACATCTGCTCTGTGCAAGGTCTTGTGCTAGATGCTGGGAATATAGTGGTAAACAAGATAGATACTGTCTTCACAGAAAACACATCTTTGTGTTCCCCGGGTACCTTAACTTAGTAATAGTATTAATGTTACGATAGTTAAAGTGAAAGATCTGAAGTTCAACTGAGCACAAATCCCAGTGCTTCTGTTTATTAGCTATGTGCACTTTAGTTACTTCCCACATACATCAGAATTTTGGGGAAGGTAGTCATAGATTGAACCATGTGAAATTGCTATTTAAGTAGGTCTAAAAATGAATATCAGAAAGTGCAAATATTCAACTTAGTATAGTTAAAACTTTTAGAACAATGTCTAGAACATAATATTAGCTATTAACCATTTTAGCTGTACTTAAAGAAATTTGGGCATATCATGGGGTTTCTAAAATTTGATAGTCTTTATAATCTAACCTTAAGTCATATATCAATTTTCACATTTACGGTAGTAGTGATAGAAATACATAATTTCTGATGCCTGTATCATAGCCCATGTGAAATGAACTGCTTTTGTCTCAGATGAACTTCCATAAACATCCTAGTCACTGATCACTTTGTAGAGTTAGTTCAGAAACTGACTCCTGAAAATAAAAAGCTTTTAAAAGTGGCAGTTGTTACAAGAAATTATGGTTATTTGACTACAGTAATGAATTAGAAATCAAAATTTAGATGTTTCCATATTGTTTTTTAAAGTTGATTTAAAAAATATAATTCACATATTATAAATTTATCCCTTTAGAGTATATAATTCACTGGCTTTTAGTATATTCACAAAGTTTCACAATCATTACAGCCATCTAATTCTAGAACTTTTTTGTCATCCCTGAAAGAAATTATACACAGTAATAGTCACTCCCCATTTCCCCTTTCTCATTAGCAACCACTAACCTACTTTCTGTCTTTATGCTTGTTCTGGACATTTTCTATAAATGGAAGCATACTGTATGTAGCCTTTTGTATCTGGCTTCTGTCATTTAGCATAATATTTTTAAAGTACTTGCCTAATGTAGCATGTGTTAGTACTTCATTTTTTTTTTGCTTGAAAAATATTCCACTGTATAAATATACTACATTTTTTTCATTAGTTGATGAAGATTGAGTTTTTTTCCAATTTGTGGCTTTTATGACTACTGTTGCCCTGAACATTTACACACAAAATTTGTATGGTTACGCCTTTATTTCTCTTGAGAATATACCTAGAGTTTATAATTGTCATATGTTGTTGCTGCTGCTCCTGTTTTTTTGGTGATTTCCTAATCTGATTCTGCAAAATCTGTATTCTTTTGTTTATGTGGCTACTGAAATCTCTCTTTGGTTAGCTGAATGATCAGCTATTGATTAGACAAAAATTTCCTTGATCTAGTAAAGAAATAAATACGCTGATCTAGTAAGTCTCCCATCCTTTGATGGGCTCTGTGTGCATGTTGGGGTATATCCTCAGTGCTCCAACAGGCAGTTTGTAACTCTGCCTTAGCCTTCATTTCCTGCTTGTGCAGAGCCTCAAAATCCACCAGTGAAGACAAATTAGGGCCCTTTCAGTTTTTTCTCAGGCAAACAAACAACCCTGCATTTGTTTCTGGCCTTTCTGAGTCCCAGAAATACATCGGAGCTTTCCGAAGACCCCTCTGGAACTTGTATTTCCTAATTTTTCCTTTTAAGTGTCTTGGTCACCTTTTCATTTACCCAGCTTTCACTGCTGCTTCAGGCATGTTAGGATGTTAGACAGTTGCCATTGATTTTTTTTTTTTTTTTTTTTTAAGCAAGTGCCCTGGGGAGAAGGCTGTTTGTGAGAGTAAGCTCTGAGTCAGGTCACCTAAAAACCAGGCTTGTGAGTGGGAGATTTCCAGAGAACTGGTAGGTAAGTAAGATAATGACAGTTCTCTTATGGTCGGAGTTTTGGGCAGCTATATACTATTCTGTTCTTCTGTTTTCCCCACCCCAATGCCCCAGTGGTTGTTAAGCTCCTGGTTTTCTCAGCTCTGTGATTATGAGGCTGTTGCATTTCAAGGCTGCCATGGAACTGGACAAAGGGAAATGGACATAGGACAACTTAAAAAGCCACAAATCTCACCTTTCTTACTGAAATTCAGCCATTTTTCTTGAATAGACAGTCTTCAGATTGTTGCAAGCCTTTGATTAATTTCCAGGGTTCTGAAAAAGTTGACTTAGACTGTTTTTACTGGTATTTTGTTTTATGAAATAATAGATTTTTTGAGTTTATTTTGGTGAAAGTGTTTAACTTCTCTACTTGTCATTTAAAAAATATTAGGCAATAAAAAAAATTCTCAAAAAAAAATTAGACAAGTAACATAATTTTTTTGTCTTTTGTTACTTCTTTTGTAGCTGGGTGTGGTGGTGCACACTTGTAATCCCGTGTACTCAGGAGGCTGAGGCAGGAGAATCACTTGAACCCAGGGGGCAGAGGTTGCAGTGAGCCGAGATCACACCACTGCACTCCAGCCTGGGCAACAGAGTGAGACTCTGTCTCAAAAAAACAAAAAAAAAATAGAAAAGATCTATCTCAGTTATTTTTATTGCTAAACATTAATAGGTGCTTAATATTATTGTATAGCAAATAAACACATGAATGAATTTTTGTGTTCATACTTTGTCTATTCATATATTTATTCAGCATTTATTGAGCATTTACTCTGTACTACATAGTGGGATAGAGCTAAATAAGGTGTGGTCACTATTTCAAGAAGCTCTCAGTTTAGTGGGCAAGATCAAGAAAAAACAACTATAAGAATGTGTTGTGATAGAAAAATCTAGTAGCTGTAGAAGTTTTATCTTTGTACATATCCTCAGGGGTTGACACACCATCATTTCTCACTTGGACTATTGCAACTAGCGTCATCATCATCATCAACATTTTTATCTTTTCAATTCAGTTTTTATACCACAAACAAAATGATCTTTACAGAAGGATAATTAGGTTATATTATCCCATCTCTTTAAAATCCTTCAATGATTTTTATCAACCACCGGTTCAAATTGTGAGATTTCCTTTTTATAGCCTCCAATTCTTAGAAGTATCTGATTTCATTTGGCACTCATCTCAACTCATTCTGCTTTCATGATGTTGAGCTCATTCCAGTTCCTAGAGCACAGCACAACTCTTGTTTGTCTCATGGTTTTTGCACATAATGTTTCTTTTGCTGGGAATATCTGTTCCCCAACTATTGGCATAGCTGACTTCTGATCATTCTAGTGTCTGCTTAAATATTACTCAGAGTGGCTTCCCTGATCACCCACTTCTCATTCTAAATTAAACACTCTCATTTTACTCTATGCAATTTCTTCTCCAATATTTTTCTCAGGATTTGCATATTTGTAACTATATTTTCATGTATATTTGTTTAATCTCTATTCAGCTAAAATATAATCTTTGTGAGGAACAGTATTTCTTTTTGTCCATGGTATTTCCTCAGTAAATATTTATGAATAAATTAATCAGTGAATAGAGGACATTCAGTCAAAATATATCTTCATCTGCATTTATCTTATGGGAAGCCCAGTTCTACCAGGTAGGAATAATCTTGAAGGAGTAGTTTGTATTAGATGAAAAGGGTTTGACATTCTAGGATAACAATAGTAACATCAAGTGCAAAGCCCCAGAAGCGTGAGAAAATATGGCTTAAGAAAGCAGTTCTCAAACTTTTTGATTTTAGAATTCCGTAACTCTGAAAAATTATTGAGGACCTCAAGGGGGATTTATTTTAATGTAGGTTATATCTATAAATATTTACTATATTACAATTAAAACTGAGAAATTAAGAAAACATTTAATTTATTTAAAAATGTAAACCACTATATGTTAAATAATACATCTTTCATGAAAAATAACTATATCTTCCAAAACAAAAAATAATTGTGAGAAGAGACATTATTTTATATCAAAGACAGCTAGGTTCTCATACCTTCTTCATTCAATCTGTTGCATTATTTCGTGTAGTTGAAGTGTGTAAAGAAGGTATGATCTCAGATAAGTGGTTGGAAAAGGAAAACATTTATTAACACCAACTTTATCAGAAAGTCTTTAAGTATTGGGAAGCTGTTAAACACATACAAATAATACAAAATTTTAAAGTTTTTATTGAAAGCTTGAATTTTATCATTGGCAACAAATATTGCTGGTTGTTTTCCTTAAAGAGATGGCCTTGCTTTTTTCATTTTTGAGAGAATGTCATCTGAATGCCCAAGTCTTTATAACCATAGTTATTCAATGGTAGTGGGTAATTAACTTGCTCAGGGTTACATAGCTAGTAAGTGGCAGAGCTAGGTATAGAGACCAGATCTTTTGGTTGTATTATGTTGTATTGCCCTATGTCTAAATTATTTGGACTTGCCAAAGCATGTCTTACAATAGTGTATTGTGTTTTTCCTAGAGAGCATGAATGGTTTAAACAAGATTTGCCCAGTTACTTATTTCCTGAAGACCCTTCCTATGATGCTAATGTCATTGATGATGAGGCTGTGAAAGAAGTGTGTGAAAAATTTGAGTGTACAGAATCAGAAGTAATGAACAGTTTATATAGTGGTGACCCTCAAGACCAGCTTGCAGTGGCTTATCATCTTATCATTGACAATCGGAGAATAATGAATCAAGCCAGTGAGTTCTACCTCGCTTCTAGTCCTCCATCTGGTTCTTTTATGGATGATAGTGCCATGCATATTCCTCCAGGCCTGAAACCTCATCCAGAAAGGATGCCACCTCTTATAGCAGACAGCCCCAAAGCAAGATGTCCATTGGATGCACTGAATACAACTAAGCCCAAATCTTTAGCTGTGAAAAAAGCCAAGTGGCATCTTGGAATCCGAAGTCAGAGCAAACCATATGACATTATGGCTGAAGTTTACCGAGCTATGAAGCAACTGGATTTTGAATGGAAGGTAGGAAATTACAATGTATTAGGATCATTTGTAGAAGCCATTTTTCTATATGATAAGCTGCTCTGAGCTGCTGAGTTGAGTATTAAGTGCAGTTTTTTCTAGTAATATACCATGCACATTAAAAACAAACAAAAAAATAACCTCTAAGGATGAAAACCAGTTGATGCTGGAAACCAACATTTTGAATTATAGTGTAGTGTTCTTGGTCAAGAAAAAAGTAATCAACTAGAAATCATCTGAGAAAACAGATTACTGGTTTCAGCATGCATCAAAGCGTTGGAAAATCATGAGTGTCTTCAAAGATAGTATGTTTTTACTTTTTTTTTTAGGGAGGTTTTTTCTTTTTTAGGGGACAGAGGCAGGTGGCTGTGATAGCTAGTAATCAATACAAATTATACCATCACACATATTTATTCAGTCAATAAACACTTTTCTCTAAATTGTGATATTCTCTCTTATTTGGCTCGTGCTTTTAATGCTTCTAGTACATTTTCCTTACTCTCAGCCCAAAGTTTACTCTTCTTAAAAATAAGTGCTCAATTTCATTTTAGTTCTATTTGAATATGTGTGTGGAGAGGGCATTTTTCCATTTCAGATATGCCTTTCCCTCTTGTTCTTTTTCTGAGGATTATGAATTTTTAAAGGAAGAAGAAAAATGTTCCAACTTACCGTGTAAATATAGATTTGACATGTTCAAATAAATGAGTCATTTTCGTTTTATTATTTGTACATGAATATTTTCTTAAAATTATATAAAAAACAGACCTCTTTGTTTTAAAGCAGTCTTGTTTAGTTAGTTTAAAAAGAGATGTTAACATTTTTGAAATTCTGTACTGAAACATTTTTGAAACTAGTATCACAGATGTATTGAAAATCCAGAATATTCGATGCATTTTTTTTTGAGACAGAGTCTCACTCTTTCACCCAGGCTGGAGTGCAGTGGCGCCATCTTGACTCACTGCAACCCAGGGTAAAGCGATCCTCCCACCTCAGCCTCCCTAGTAGCTGGGACTATAGGCGCCCGCCACCACATTTGGCTGATTTTTTTTGGTATGTTTTTGTAGAGACGGAATTTCACCAAGTTGCCTAGGCTGGTCTCAAGCTCCTGGGCTCAGGCAGTCTACCCACCTTGGCCTCCCAAAGTGCTAGGATTACAGTCATGAACCACTGTGCTTGGTTCTCTTTGTTCCTTCTACTCCATAATCATCCATGAACATGTTTAAGCAGAGACTGGGCAACCAAATTATAATTAATATTTTAGAGTTGATATGTATGTAGAGTGAAGGCTAGACTTTATGTAATCTGTGGGTTCTCTTTGTTTCCTTTATCTTTCTCTTTTTCTTCAGTATCCCAAATTTATTCAAGTAGTTTTTCCTTCAAATCTTAATTGCCATATGGTACTACTAGTGGGGATTAAATAAATGCTAAATTACCAGTAATATAAAAAATTATTCAGACATTCCTTTCGTACCTCACACCTATTAATTACTTGTTTTGCCATTTTTTGCAATGAAAAGGGAGATATTTTGTAGTTTATTATTTTTAATTGATTTTTCACTTTAGGTAGTTAATGCATACCATCTACGTGTAAGAAGAAAAAATCCAGTGACTGGCAATTATGTGAAAATGAGCTTACAACTTTACCTGGTTGATAACAGGAGCTATCTTTTGGACTTTAAAAGCATTGATGGTAAGGAAGCTATGCATGCATGAGCTCTGAGAAGATAAAATTTGGCACTAGTTGACCAGATGTTAAAATCATCTCGAAGACATCCGGTGGGTAGGTCCTGCACTGGTTTTTAAGTAATCTAGACTTAACCAAAATGTAAGTGAAGTGAAAAGGATGAAAGACTTGTTGAATACACCTTACTTGGAATCTTTCCACAAGAAGTATCTTCATGGCATAAAAGAATCATTTGAAGTGTTGGCCATGGAGCACAAGTAAGGAACAACAGGGAGGCAGGCTTTACCTTTTTAATTAACTGACTTGTCAGGGCTTTGCCACATTTCTCCATTCATATTTCATTAGTTAGTATTGTAATGTCTAAACTTTCCCCTTCATCACCTTTCCTCATCCTGGGTGGCCAGGGTGACCGAATAGGTCTCTATTGGGATTTAGGTTGGATTTAGGTACCCATGGCAATCAAGGAGCCAAAGGCATCAGGGAGAATTGTCACATCCAAGAACTTAGTGTGTGCCAAGGATTAAACCTGAGTAAACCAAATGTGATTATTCATTTCAGAGACCCAAGTGGGATAAAACCAGAATAAACCAAGGGTCAGGTGATAGACTGAACAAGAGTGGAACTGAGTTTAGAGTTAGGGATGTTGTTTTAAACAAAGCATTTAAATTTTACTCTTGAGCTACCATCAACTATGTATGGTAGTGTTTATATGGATCCCAGACCTCTTCCATTGAAATTACATGTTGTTGTTATTAAATTGCAAATTCTTGGGAACCACTCCAGACCTATCACATCAGAGTTTCTGGAGACTGGTCCTGGGAATCGTAGAATCTGCAGTTTTAACAAGATTTCTCTTATTTTGCACCCTGTCTTCCCAAGGCAATGTATCATGGTAACTTTTATTTTTACCTTAATGTTTTTTTTTGTTGATATGCTAGAAGAAAATAAGTTATCAAGAATATGCTTTCTTCACATGCAGAGATATCAGTTTGATTCTAATATCAATGACAAATACTCCAATTTGAGAAGGACTTAGGGATCACATTTTGACTGTGTGTAAGTGTTGTGATTGGTAGTGATGTTTGTTAAGATTGTTTGAAGGAAGAGGACTGTGCTCCTAAAACAGTGAAACATGACATTCAGTATTAAGTATTAAATCCAGTTTACTTCCTAAATTTCAGTAGGCTTTCTGCTGTTTATGCCCCCAAATTTTTTTAACAAAAAATGATTAAAAAGTAAAGTGTGTTTACTTAATATTCTGAATATCATAGTTTCATAGGAAGGGTTCGGGCATATATGCTTTTAATATAGATTGCTCTTCTTTGGCCTATTTCAGATGAAGTAGTGGAGCAGAGGTCTGGTTCCTCAACACCTCAGCGTTCCTGTTCTGCTGCTGGCTTACACAGACCAAGATCAAGTTTTGATTCCACAGCTGCAGAGAGCCACTCCCTTTCTGGCTCTCTCACTGGCTCTTTGACTGGAAGCACATTGTCTTCAGTTTCACCTCGTCTGGGCAGTCACACCATGGATTTTTTTGAAATGTGTGCCAGTCTGATCACTACTTTAGCCCGCTGATGATCTGTCTCTAGTTTCTTTTTGTTATTGCTCTATGAAAATCAGATATATTATTTAAATTTTTGTCTTACTTTTGGATAACATCTGCTGCAATACGAATTGAGAGACATGAATTATTTCCAGGGGACACACAATGCTGTTGAAATTACTGAAAACAAAATATCTGACATCTTATTTACTTGTAGAAATCTGTAACCTTATTGTGCCTATGATAAATTCTCATAGGCAGTATCTTTAACAGGTTAATATTGATGAGGATTTTTAATTTACAGTTATGATTACAGATGATTAACACACCACACTGGCTAACAATCTCAGTGTAAGGGTGGTTTGGCAGCACCTCCTTGCTTTATTGTTTAGTGTAGGTAAATCCAGTTTACTTCCTAAATTTCAGTAGGCTTTCTGCTGTTTATGCCCCCAAATTTTTTTAACAAAAAATGATTAAAAAGTAAAAGAACCACTAGTAAGATATTATTTAAATGTTGAAATCTTAAAAACCTGCCCTCAAGATTTCAGAAGCCAACTTCTGACAGTATTTTTACAAATACTGCCTAGTATATTCAACAGGAAGACTAGGGTCATGTAACAGGTAAACACAATTTTAAGATTCCTTAAAAACAGCTGTAACTAACTCAGGGTTTTAGCTTGCGATTTCCCTGAATAATATGCTTATCTTAAGAGCCTTCAAGTTTCAAATTAGTATTGGAACATCTGGAATTGCAGCAATTTTTGTCTTTTACATAAACTTATGTCATTTAAAAAATGCCTTCAAAACCTACCTTTCTCAAATTCTTTATGGCTTTATTTATTTTTGTATTTCACCAACAGTGACAAAATAGTTCAAGTATCAACAGTCCTTTAAATGAAAATTTTTCTCTTTGATCTTTATATTTTGTGTCAGGTGTTAGCATCCTGGTGCATCTCACAATGCTAATTCTTCATCGGAAGTCACTCCCTTCACTCCACCTATCCTAGTCACTACTGTCTGTTTATTGTGTGATCCTCAGTGGTTGAATGATACACAGCTTTTGAATTTTTTCTAGTTTCAAGTTTGAAAACACTGTTCTGGACCTAAGGGCTTTTGTACACTTCCAAAGCTTGATAGGCTATGACCTTCACTGTTGAACCTGATGGGGTAGGGAAGCTTTGAACATCAAGAAAAATAATTATCTCTTAAATAAGTAAAAAAAAAATATATATGTGTGTGTGTGTGTGTGTGTGTGTGTGTGTTTATACACACACCAGTGCTTTTAAGCAAAAACCAAACAGTTTTTTTTTTGCTTTGTGCATATTTTTTTAAGATTTAAAAAACACAAACTATATATAGTAGGGTAGATAATAGTTTATTGATGATGTTTTGTTTTAAAGTATTTTTAAATTATGTGTGATTTAACTAATTTGTATTTATTCATTTGTTATTTTAACCATCTTACTTACCTGAATTACCCTAAAAACATTAAGCTCTTGAAAACAGAAAAATGACATTACCTTGAAAGATTTCTCTTTGCCAAAAATAACGTATGTTTTACCAAGAGGCAGATGACAATATTAGACCAAGTGTCTTCATTGTTAGTGGAAGATAGGCGTGTCTGTCTTTAAACATTCTTTGAATCAGGAATTTGCATTGTGTCACATCATATGACTTTGCAGATCTTTTAAAAACTGATGTTAAATAACTTATTAGTTCAACTTTTTAATATCAAAGTAAGAGAATCGTTCACCAATTTGGGAAAGAGGGCGGGTTGCAGTTTGAGATAGTTTAAGGTTTAATTATTGAAAGATTGCCATCTTGTGGCACCAAAGGGTAATTAAGTGATTATTTGCATAGGGAAAAGCAGTCCTGAAGTTAGTCTGATGTGCATTATAGATATGGGATAGTTTTGGGTTCCCCAAATGGGTACATACCTCTTTTGGGAAAAACAGGGCTACCTCATAATATTTGCCAGGTTGTGAATGGAATTAACTTAGAAAAAACGAACTAATCAGCTTAACCCTAATGACAAAATACACAAAAATTTTGAAGGCTGAAGGAATCTAGTGGTGTTTTAGCTCCATTAGTCTAATAGATAAGATATTAAAAATTTGTTCATATCAAAATTACCTTATATGGATGATTGTCATGTTTTTTGAGAGTTAATTTATTTACTGTTTTCTAAAGCTTGCCAGTATTTATAAACAGCTGTAGTTTGATATTTACTGAATTTTAGGAGAACTAATGATCACAGCTTGGGTTCTTTTATGTTCATCTTTTTAAAACAGCTATTTCATGAATCTAGGTGGTTGGTTTTTAGAGAGTATTTCAGGAGACATAGTCCAGCACAATAAGAGGTAGAGCATTGTTACAGCAGGCTTTTTGTTGCTTGTGGGCAGATATAGGGAAAGAATCAGTTGTTAACCGCAAATTTTCACATTTCAGTCTTGTAAACTATGGATGTGGTAAGCAGATGTGGGCTACGAATAATTTCCTCCAGTTAAGACTGTGGAGGAGAGCTTCTATTATTAGGTTACAGATAAGGCCTTAGTTATATCATGGAAATGTACTCCATGTGCTTCTAGAACTGCATTTCCCAAATGCTCCACAGAAAAAATGACTGCATGGACTAAGTTTGAAAAGTGTTGCATGCATTTTTCCCATCGAAGGTGACAATGGATGTAAGCATTAAAGACTTTGACAGGTCTTTCTGTGAAAAAAAGAAAATGATATAACTTTGTTGAAGTTTGCTTTGTCAAATTTTTTATTTTAAAAAACTTAATATCCAATGCATTTTTAGGAAAGTATTGTCCCAGAATGCCATAATTAGGGTAGTTAATAATTAAGTTAGCACTTCCTTTTATCAGTTTGGGAAGAATCTGATTGAAAATTAGAGTCATTTTGTTTTAACTTGCAGACATGTTCATCATGAGTGAATGCTGGACTAAATAGAATTTTTATGTCTGCAACTTGTTGCATAACATCTTGGTTTTCTTAATCAGTGTGTGTTATTTTTTGAATGCAACATTATTCTTGTGGTTGGGTGACTGAAAAGCCTGAAACCAGATTACTTGTTAAAGAAGTCTAAGAGACTAGTGACTCATGCTTATGGCTCTATGGATGATAAATTCTGATTCTTACTTTTAAAAGAAGTCACTTATTCTTACTTTTAAAAAGTCACTGATTCTTTTAAAATATGTAGTCAGTGAACATTTTCTAAATACTTTATGATACCTTATGAAGATCTAATTCCTGTTATGTTTCAATGTAGGAATAGGTAGATACCTTCTCAGACTGAATATGCAGAGAGGGAAGTAGGCAAACCATTTGCAAGTTGGGTTTTTGTTTTGATTAACAAACCTTTTAAGAGACACTTTTGTAATCTCTAGTGTTTACATTCCTTGATACTAGGTATCTGTAAAGAGAATCCAGGAGCCTAAATTAATCAGAAATAATTGTATTTCTATGTCAGGGTATTGGCTATATGTAGCACAAACAATTCTCCATTTTCTGCAAATGTGTTTTTCAGGACAGTTTTATAATTCTGGGTTTGCGTTTTCTTATTCCCTAGCCAGTTTGTACTCAGGGAATACAAATTGATTTTTACTGTTAAATGAGACATAGTTTAGAAAATAATCATAAACAACTATTACACATTTTTGATCTATTTGGATTTATCTGTAGCATCTAATAATGTGCAGTGTACTGAGTTAATGTAGGCACTTCACCTTCCATTTATTAAAATGTAAACACCTGGAACATGCCTGCCACAGATACCACTTTGTCTGTTCACTGGTTAATAATTTACGTCCTATTAATAGTTGTAAAATCTCAGCATCTAATTGCTAGACATGTTCACAGTTTTGTCTGTTTTTGTTTATTTGTTTTTAAAGAACCAAATTTTTTCAATCTGGCATTTATTTACTTGGTTCTCCTGTGTCACCCTGTGGCATTTTAAATAGGGAATGTAATTTATTTTAATAGTAGTTCTCAAAGACTCTATTAAAAACTCTGGATGAGGGACATGTGCAATCTGTTGGTAAGACACATCCAAGGTTTGGCCTCATTTTTATAACTCCTAAAATGGGAGAGGTAGATTTTAACACTTCTAAGGTACTTTTGAGCTTTAAAATTATTTTCTGCTTTTTCATATGATTGTGTTAGTGTTCACTTTTTATATATTTAGAGTTTTTATACTAGTGTGAATGTTTGTTTTGATTTGGTAAGGCATATCAAAGGTATATACTTGAATATTTTTCTAAATACAGCTGCCAGAGGAATGCAAATGGCAAAAATCATCCAGAAAACCAAACATGGTGAAACATCATGTCCATTTGGCATGAAGCAAAGCATTACAAATTTGGAGTGATGAAAGTGTTCCATATATTTTTTATAGTGATTTTTCGATCTAGAGACCCTCCATATTGTTTACTTACTATTATAATAACTTTGTGAGGTAACCAGAAAAAGCATTTTTGCCATTTCCAGATGAGGAAGCAGGACCAGAAAGCTGTTCACAGAACTTTAACGCCATGCAGGCATTCAGCAGTGATCAATTGCTCTTTATAGGAAACCACCTTTCCTCTGGGGAAGAACAGTCTGAATTAATAAAACATCAGAGTGGTTGAGTAATAAAAAATAAACACAGATGTATTGCTTTCAAGTCTTAGAGTGGCATAAAGTATTCTTAAATAAATAGTTCTTAGTTTAATTATTTGAACCAGTCAGCTATACTAATGAGATGTAATTATCTGAAGTATTCGTTAGCATATTAGTTTTTGTAAATATTTCTAAGTTATTAAGGGTGCTTAAAATACTGAAGAAACTTTAAGACATGATTCTTCTTATAATTTTATGTGATTCTCATAGCACAATCATTTTTAAGAAAGGAAAACTAGGCCAGGTGCAGTGGCTCATGCCTATAATCCCAGCACTTTGGGATCCTCAGGTGGATCACCTGAGTCAGGAGTTTGAGAGCAGCCTGGCCAACATGGTGAAACATTTCTACTAAAAATACAGAAATTAGCCGGTGTGGTGGCAGGCCATTTATAATCCCAGCTACTTGGGAGGCTGAGGCACAGGAATCTCTTGAACCTGGGAGGCAGAGGTTGCAATAACCAAGATGGCGCCACTGCATGCCAGTGCGGGCGACAGCACAAGACTTTGTCTGAAAACAAACAAACAAAACTAGTCCTAGTCCCTGACCTAAATTGTTATAGTTTTTGACTATTATCTGAATTTGGCTTATCTAAATTTCATATGCAGATTGATAATTTTTCATTTTGTATTTATAGTAGATAATATATTTTCATAGAGTATATAGTTCTAATTTACAAACACCTAATTATTATTAGCTTGATAGAGTTTCTCCCAAACCTTATAAAATTTTGAAATGTACTTATGTTTGAGCTTTAAAAATTATAAAAACTTCATTTAAGCAAGTTGCTGGCATCCTTATTAGCCTTTCCACATATAATTGTGATGCATTTGATGTCACTGAACAGTAATAGCATGAAGAACAGGTCTCACAGTCTAGACTGGATTGAGTTTTAATTAAACTTCTTCAGCCATAGCCTGATAAGAATCAGGCTGGGTCGAGAAGAGTTATCAGACTGTAGGTCTGTATTAATTTTGCGAGCTAATGTTAATGTTTACTGCCAGTGTTGCATAGCAATGCCAGTTTCCAGTTGTGACTGTGTATGTGACTTTTGGTAAAAATGGTTTATATCTAAAGTAGTTTAGATTTTATGGAAATAGCTCATGATTGTTTGGACAAACAGGGTAGGTAAATTGCAATTACATTTAAAGTGTAATTAAATCCTAGAGTGGCGCACTCTCCGGAAAAATAAGAGAGTTTTGAATTTGGAGAATATCAGGCATGAAAACTTCTTTGAATAATGCATAGAATTTTGACAAGGTTCTTACAGTGCATACAGTGTAACCTTTTTTGAGGCAGGCGGGTGGGGGTGGTTGCTACTTAGTGTTGATTTAAAATTTTTCAAGGAGGAACAAAAATATTCTAGCCAAGGAGAATTGCATTGTTATTTTTTTCTAATTTAAACCTGCATTTTTCAGTTACACATTTTTTTAAATAAATTTTGCTACCAAAAATGACCATTTTTCTAGACAGATAACATTTTCCTAAAGTGGAAAAGAAATAGATTCATTGTTCTAACAAAAACAAAACCAAACACTAAATTGTGCCTTCTCCCTCAAATTATAGGAAGAGTAATAAATTCTTGTTCAAACTATATTTTATTTTTTTTAATCCCTCTCAGTTCTCCTTAGATCTGCCTCCTACAAATGATCTTGTTTGCATCTGTCTGATTGAGTTCCCTTGGCCAAACTTCACACTACCGCTATCAGAAGTTGTTCGCTAAATATATTTTTCTACTTTTTTTATGTTGTTTGACTTTATAAGTCACCTTGAACATTTGGCTGCCTTCTCATGCTTTAAAAATTAATGCAATGAATAGCAGTTTTTACATTTTAACCCTTTAAAAAGTTTGTCAAGGAAACAACTCAGAGCCAAGAACAAAATCCAACGAATCTGTTTCTTCCTTTGGCTGCTGAAGCAGCAGCAAATCACATAACCTCATTAATTTTTCCATTTAAAAATATAGATAATAACCTACCTCACAGATGTGTGTGAGAAACTGAAAGCCCTTGTTTAAATACAGGGTTTATATCCCCACATTCAATGTAAATTCCTTTTTTTTTTTTAAAAGTATCTTTGATATTGATAGGATGAGTATCTTGATTTTTAGGTAAGATCACAGTTTCACAAATTGTGGTGTTTATAAGTTACACTTAATATTTCTTGAAACCTCAAATATTCAAATATCAAACTTGTCCTTTGTTGTAACAGTTATTCAGAATCTCTTCAAGTGTTGGCTGAAGTTGCCTTAATGTACCAAAATACAGCTCGCAAGATTGTTCACAATTATCTGTGGTTGTACAATGTTTTGAACATTTAATGTAAAGTTGTTATAGAGCTGTGAACTCTAAGGATAGTATCTTTATTGTTTTAGGAAGAATGGTTGTATTCTTTGTCATATACGCTTAAATATACAGTGGATTTTGAGTGCAACAAATAAAACTGAAAGTTTTATTTATTTAGCAGCCATTAGGTTGTGTCATGACAATCATAATATAGGATATAATATCTCCCTTTTTTCAAAAACATCCTGCATTAATTCATTCTTAGCCTACCTTTGAAAAAAAATCAATTGACTCATTGGAGTACTTAATTACATATTTATTGAAAAAAATTTTTAATTGTTGAAATTGGGACCACTTTTTATAATTGGTTTCAGGGAAAAAATAGACATTCAGTGCTAGTGTGTTCACATAACTCAGATTCAAGTTTCAGTTTTGTTTGTTACATACTTTTTGTGAGTGTTATATGATGTGGGAAGGATTTGTTTTCTAGTAACCATATGGAAAAGATGTCTTCCTGAATTACACAGCACTTCATAGTTACAGATTCTCCCTAATTAATGTTTGCACTGTATGAAACTCATAGGTAACATAGAAAAGCAGCCTGAGTGCTTATTAGCTTTTTTCACAAAATCAAATTAAAGTTTCTGGTTAATTTGAAAGCTGTTTTTGTTTCTGCTCCATCATTACGCTGATATTCTGCACTCCAACTAATAGTTACAAGAAAGTTGTTAGTGGAAAAGATTGCATATGACTCATTATATGTCACACCATCTTTGTCCATTTTTGTCATCTTAGTTGTACATTATAGTTTTAACTGGAGCTATTGCATGGGTTTTCTGTTGTTGCTGTAAGAAATTACTACAAACTTAACAAAATACAAATTATCTTATTGTTCTATAAGTTAGAAATCCAGCGGGCTTAGCTGGTTTTTCTGCCTCAAGTCACACGGGCTGAAAACCAAAGTATCGATAGGGCTGTGCTCTGGAGGAGAATCTGTTTCCAAGTGCATTGTTGGCAGAATTTTATTCCATGCTGCGGTAGGATTGAGGTCCTTGTTACCTTCTTGGTTGTTGGTTAGTAGTCATTTAAAGCTGCTAGAGGCCATCATTATTCCTTGGCCCATGGCTCCCTTCGTCTTCAAAATCAGCAACAAGGGGCTTATGCTTTGGATCTCTCCTTCCTTCTCTTCAACTACATGTTTCTGACATGCTGACTTTTTACCGCCTTCCTTTTGAAATTTTAAGGGCTCATGTGATTAAACTGGGCCTACCTGGATTATGTGCTTTTTGAAAAACATATTCTACTCCTCATGAAAAAGAAAAATGCAAGCGTATTAAAATCAGGATACACAAGTAAAGATTTCAATTCGCTTTTTCTAAACTTTAAGGAAAAGAATGGATTTGTTTTTATTGGTGAAAATATTTTCTATTTTCTAAATTGCATAGGTAATAGATGCTTCCTATAAGAAATTTGAAAAGTGAAGGAAATGGGAAGAATATGAGAAAAATGTCACCCATAATAAGAGGTAGCCACTTCTTAGTTTTGTTATTGTATATTTATATTTTTCCTCTTCCATTTCTTCCCCCCTAGACTATACCTTTTAAAAGTTTTGAAAATTTGCAGGAGAGGACCTGGTCAAGAAGGTTGCTATGCCATTTTGGAAGAAGAGTGAGTATATCACAGAGGAACTCAGAAGTGGGAAGGGAGGTCTTGGGACATCTTAAGGTAACTAGAGGGCCTGGCCAATATACAAATGAGTTTATGAGTTAGCCTCTATTACAGTAAAGTGTTTTATTATGCTGTCTTTTTTCTGATGATCCCATTATGTTTACTATATTTTTATACAAAATTGAAAATAAAATATAAACTTAGTCTTTCCATTGAAGCTTTACACTCAGCTAGGGTTTCTAGGAGACAGATGACATCTGCTTAGAATATCACTGAAGTCTTAGTTATGGTGTTTACATTCTTGCAGATTAATAATTTGAGAAGTATAGTTTTGATGCTTTGATTCAAAGAATGGAGGAAATGTGGCTGATATTAGTGAAATAGAAACATAACTGCACTAAGTATGAATAGAAAGGATAGAAAACCATTTTTTTCTAAAAACCTATACCATATCAAATAATAATTAGGTACTAGTTTATATTACACCAAATAGTTTATACTTAAAAATAGTATATACTATTTAATAGGCTTTTAACACTGAACATTTTTCTGTCTACACACAAAAAAATTACATACCAGTCATTCTTTTAAGACTTATGATTTGAAGTTTAAAAATGTATTTTTGTTTTCAGCATCTTTCAACTTCAGTATAAGCCAGGAACACAAATGACACCACTTATACAGTAGTGTGTATTAAGGATTTTAGACTACTTTTATATTATTACATTAAAGCATAACGACTACCCTATGAAGTAGACAAGATGAGAGTTATTAGCCCCGTTTTATATTTTTATTATTATTTATTTATTTTTAGGTGGAGTCTCACTCTGTCCCATAGTCTGGAGTGCAGTAGCATGATCTCAGCTTACTGCAACCTCCACTTCCCAGGTTCAAGCGATTCTCCTGTCTCAGCCTCCTGAGTAGCTGGAATTACAGGCATGCATCAGCACTCCTGGCTTATTTTTATATTTTTAATAGACACGGTTTCACCATATTGGCCAAGCTGGTCTCAAACTCCTGAACTCAAGTGAGCTGCCCACCTCAGCCTCCCAAAATGCTGGGATTACAGGCATGAGTGACTGTGCCCAGCCTAGCTTTATCTTAATAATGAGGAAATTGAGATGCAAAGAGCTGAGTCGAATTAGAACAAGGGGCCATGTAATGAGGTGGAAAGTGCAGGGGACAAACCTGTCTGAGTTCAAATTTAGTCCCATTGTTACCCCCAGATTTAAAATGCTTCATGGCTTGGTAAAGTGGCAAGAGTGATATGTGGTATATGATTCTCTGTTGGACAGGATTATTGCATGGAAGATAGCTGCTCAACATAGTCCTATACTCTCCCTGCCTTGTCTTTTACAATGCCTACTCTAACAGTTTTTGTCCTGGAGAGCAGGAGAGGGATGCAATGGCCTCTTACTGGGTAGTAAATTTAGTTCAGGGGTCCAAACATCGAGTTTGGTCCTTGGTCCAAGCATAAATATATTTCCAAAATTTGGTACCAGGCCTAATTTCATCTCCCAGAAAAGAGTCTCAAAGCCATTCCCTAATTCTCTTCTCTAACCACTACATCTAATTAGTCACTAAGACATTCTGTTTTACCTATGTAATACCTCTAATGGGGCTTCTCTACCATATATTTCTGTTGCTGCTGTCTTAACGTGTAATGCCATTTTGCCTAAAATATTGCAAAAACAATCTCTCCTCTGTTGTCCATATGGCTGATTGCTTCGCACCTCGCAAATATCTGGCATTTTCTTCCCATCCTCCAAATATCTGCCATTTTCCTACTGCATGACCCTTAAATGGCTCCTTACTCTCTAGAGGAAAAGTACAAGTGAAGTCTGTCACATTCTAGACCCACCTTACCTCATTCCAAACAGCTCTTGCCATTTTCCACCAGACATCTTACACTCCATTTACTCTGAATTTTTTCATAATCACCAGACAGAGCATGGGCCTTCCATCTCTGTGCCTTGTCAAATAAATAAACATATTTAAAGACCAAGCTTCAGTTTACCTTCTCTGTAAAATGTTTTAATCCTTTAGCTGTTCCTTTCATATCTTAGTTATGTTATTTGTAATAATCTCTATGTGTTTCCTTCTCTAAACTCTGAACTTTTTGAATACCTTTGATTCTTGTCATTTAGAATAAGCCTGGCCTTTATTGGCAAATGTCATTTGGAACATGAAAAAAAAAGAAAAAGGAACCTAGAAGCTTAAAAAAAATGGCCTCAACATAAAGAACAAGGCCATGGAAACACACGCCATCATGCTTGTGAAGGCCAGAATCATTCTGCTTTAAGAACTGAGTGAAATTCTTCAGTTTTTCAGTGCCGAAAAAGCCACTTAAACATTTGAAATGGTTAAATGCATATGTAGAATTTATTTCTTACTGACATACAGTTTACCTCTTTTAAAAAAAATAAACATTACATACAGTTCAGCTTTTAAATTTTTATTTAATTTCATATAAATGAAAGTATATAAGAATGCTATTATTTGAACAGGTATTTGGGCATAGACAAAATAATGCCAATTGTTCTTATTTTGGACAAAATGATGTTTTAAAGTAATACAGCATATATATTATTTTGTTAAGTACATTTGGGCCCTTCTTAAAATGATGGGTAAGTTTAGGAATAAATTATTCTTCAGCAGACTATTCCCAAAAAAACCCAATGTGAAACAGTATTTATGTAAGTTAATTTTTGTGATAAAGTAAAAGGACATGTATACCTTGATTTTTTCTAAAGACTGAGCCATAATTACTTTAAGATTATACCTTAAACTTGAATATTTAAAAGCACTTGGTTACGCTATTTACTGTTCAGAATTAAATTATTCCAAATTTGAATGAACAACATCTAGAAATTACAAACACTTGTGTACTAATATTAGAAGCAAACTAACCATCTGCACAACTGACTAGGTGCCATAAGGCATGATTTCTAACTTTGGATATGGCTCATTAAATAAGTGCTCAAATGCTAACACATACTGTTTCACATTCTCTTGAACTGGCAGTGAAGTAGATACTGAAATAGACAGTGAAAGATAACCTTTTAGGAGTAAAACCAACATCTAAATGTTGAGGATTTGTTTTTATTTTTCTCTTTTGAGTTCTGAACAAAAGTTTCCACAGATTCCACCATCTCAAAATGTAGACATGTAAACTGAAACTGATGTAAGGCGGGACTAAGATCTTAGGACTAGTTCTCCCTTGTGCAGACCATAGCATTTGATCTTGATCTTTCTAAGGTGACCAACTTCGATTCCTGAGAAAAAAAATATGCACACATTTTAAAATATAGGACAATGAAACAGTGAGTGAGAGATTTCTAGGGAATTTCTGATCTAGCTTAATATGTTTGTGTTCCTTTAAAATGTTTATAAAGCTGTGTGGAGAAGTTAGATAGCATACTCAGGAGACACAATAATAAAATCTCTTCCAGTGTAATCCTTATAGAATAGCGTACTGTATGTCTAATTTTTTTAACTTCTTGAATTTCAACAGATTCGGTAGTCTCTTCAGACAAATGTATACAACAGGGTATTAAAAACTCATGAGGTAAAGCATAAAATCAAACCACTTACTTGAAATCTAGGTGTTCAATGAGCACATATCCATCTGTAGAAACAAAAATCACTGTTAATTTGAAAGCTATAGAGAAAATGCTTTAAGGTTTTTTAAAAAACAGTGATTGAAACATTAGGAAAGATAAGCAAATAAACTTACATTTGCCTTTAGAATTACGACATATCACTAGATTTTGCTCAGTGGTATCAATGACTTCCAGTTCTTCTCCAGGGGATATTGGCAAATCGAATATTCCGTTTCTTGAATTACTTGAACAGGCCACTGCTGTGTTGGTGACACTTACCTCTTTTTTGTACTGGAATGAGAAATTACTAATCAGACCATTCGTGCATATTTTTTTATAACAAAATTAATGGAGGATATAATATAGTAACCTCAAAATAAACTCAAGAC